TGGCTGTTTCTGCCCCACTCACCACCAAAGACTGTGTGGACAATTAACGAAATGTTTGTTCAGCTTGTCATTAAAGGCAGAGGACATCTACAGAAGTTGGATGGACAGGATCCAGTGACCATCTACATCCCAGCAATGAAGGACAACCTTGACTAGCTACTGGCTGAAGATGCAGGATTCCAGGCAGCCTTGGCAGGCTATGACGGTGACATTTCCACTCACTATTCTAAACACAGACTTTGGGCAGAAATGGGTAACCCACCCTTAAAAGCCACATGCAGATGCCAACACCAGCCAGTGAAAGGTCTCACCGTTTTTACCGATGCATCTGGACAGTCCAAAAAGGCTGTATTGACGTGGGTAAACCCTGCCACAGGACAGTGGGAAAAGGAGGTACAGTGAGGAGGATCATCGAACTGACTGGGAACGATTCAAGACCTGGAGGGACTTGTATGGGGCCTGAAAAGACTATTACTCCACGGACTTTCTCGTTATCCCCCAGCATTATACCAAGTTTAATGTACTCCCATGTTAATTCCCCTTAGTTTATACTGTTCAGGGCTTGCCTGGACTTGCCTTCACGTTTTTCCTGCCATAAGTTGTTTACTCCCTTGTTCTCCCCTGGCTTTCCCGCTCATCTCTCACTGATTGGCTGATGGATGCCGCAGTGCAGAGTGAGCTCCCATTGGTCCTTTCCCCTGGATACTCCAAAGTTCCACCCATCTTTCTCCTATTCCCCAATCCCATTCTGCCCTGAGTTGTCAATCCCATGCTCCGCCCCAGTTGTGGAACCTCCCCTTGCCCAAACCTTATATAAGTCCTTGTTTCCCCCAATAAACTGGCCATTGCACCCTGACCTTCTACTGTGTCAGAACCCCTTTTGTGCAGTGTCGCATCCTTATTCCTTTTACCCTCAGGCTGTGGCAGTACAGACCATAAGCCATGGTTCAGTACAAGTCCTAGAACTTGCAGCTATTCATATTGCCTTTGAACTGTTTCCTGATCAGCCAATTAACACTGTTACAGATTCATGCTATGCAGTAGGTTTGCTTTCATGTCTCGAGGCTTCCTTCCTTCGAGACGTTGCTAATCCACACTTACTTGCTGAAATACGTACTGTACGGGTTCTTGTTAACCACAGAACATTTGATTTCTACATAATGCATGTTAGGTCACACACAGAAATGCTGGGGCCTATAGCAGAAGGGAACCAAAGAGCTGATGCAGCAGCTATGTTTACTACAGTGCCTAGAACTCTCGAGCAAGCTAAATTGTCTCATTCTTTTTTCTACCAGAACACATGTTCTCTGAAGAGACAATTTCAAATCACCCTCAGTCAGGCTCGAGACATAGTCATGTCATGTCCAGACTGCCAACAAATTACTCCAATGCCATCCCAGGAAGCAGTTAACCCCAGAGGACTGATAGCTCATGAGGTGTGACAGACAGACATTACACACATAGCTGAGTTTGGTCGGCTAAAATATGTTCATGTTACAGTCGACACACACTCCAGATACATAACTGCCACTGCACATACCAGGGAAAAGGCAAAAAATGTCATAAGGCACTGGCTTAACTGCTTTGCAACTCTAGGGACCCCAAAAAAGACCAAAACTGACAGTGTTCCAGCATACATTTCAGCAAAGGTCGAAACTTTCCTAACAGACTGGGGAATCTCTCAGTCCACAGGCATACCACATTCACCCACAGGACAGGCTATGGTAGATAGAGCACACCATACCCTAAAAGACATGCTCAAAAGACAAAGAAAGGGGCAGTCCATCTGTAGTCCACAGGAACATCTGTGGAAGGCAACATATGTCATAAATTTTTTAAATTGTGACAGTGCAGAGAAAAGTAGGTATGAGAGACAACACAGACCTCAAGCATTTTCGTCTCCCAAACCACTGGTCATGATAAAAGACTTAATATCAGGGCAATGGATGGGACCGGCGGACCTCGTGACATGGGGGAGGGGGTATGCGTGCATATCTACAGATAAAGAATTAAAATGGATTCCTTCCAGGTGTGTCAAATCCTACGGTACACCCTCACAGCAGCAGCAAGAACCAGGCTGATAGTGGAAGAGACTGCAGACAAAGACACATAACTGATGTTTACTACTGAAAATGACCAGTGTGGCAAAAATACAGAATCTTATTAAAAGCCATAAGTGTGCATGTGAAGAAAGAATGAGGTGGCTGCAGGTGTGAGTGTGTTATGAGTGAATGAAAGAGAACTGTGTGAGAATACAAGCACTTTAAACACTAAGCCTTAAAAAGGTAACACTACCTCAGCCACATGGTCACATTAGAAGAATTCAATTCATAATGTTTACCCCCCAATAAACCCTGTTGTCGAAATAAAGTGGAATTTTCCCTGTTCTACACAAACCCTCAGACAAATAAAGGTTAATGTTTCTTGTTTCTTCCAGTTACATAAGTACCACTCAGTTTTATAAAAAACCCTCAGATCAATAAAGTTGTTGTTTATCCCAGTTACGTTACACCCCTTAGGAAAATAAAGGTTCAAGTTTATATCAAGCAGGTTCAAAAGGTTAAAGAGAGAAATTCTAATAAGTAGGTTTGTTGAAGAACCAGGGTGAAGCAGTGAGCTGGGTCACTGTGATACAGTGGTAATTGTTACAGGTTTTACAAGGTTTAAAAATGTACTGGTGTATTACTTGCACTGTTCTATGATTCATCTTAATAATAAAACTGAGGTAGATGTAGGGAATGTGTTTTAGGGATGTTGGATGAGGCACCCTGGGAGATGTAGTCCCAAATGTACTCAAATACACACGGGCAGTAGCAAATCCCATGGTGGTTGGTTAAGAGAATCACATGTTGTTTTAAAGTGCATATAAAAGATGCTGTTTGATTCCATTAAACAGATTTGGTTGTTGGGACTCCAACCAACCGGGTCGTGTGGGTTTACTTATTTATTATATTAATAAAGCCACACATTCCTGGGTTTAATCCTCCTGGAGAACTCAAATTGCTAGTTAGGTTCTCAACTCAGAGTTTAGTTTTGGAAAAATGTGACAAACAGTAGTGGCAGAGAGCTTTTAAACAACAGACCTCTTGTAAAAGAAGTTACTCAGGCAGGCAAACTTACTACCTGGCAGATTAGCAGCTAGGAAGAGTATTTAAACTCTAGTACAAGTTATTGTTTCTTAATACGGTGAACGTCCTTGCTTCTTTATTCAGTGATTTTCCATCTGAAACACAACCAGGCTAAGGAAAAGAACCCACATGTTTATGAGCTATCCTTGGTTGGCTCTGTGTGTGTGAAAATCATAGAATCATAGAATGGTTTGGCTTGGAAAGGACCTTAAAGATCATCTAGTTCCAACCCCACTGTCATGGACAGGGACACCTTCCACTACACCAGGTTGCTCAAAGCCCCATCCAACCCAGCCTTTAACACTGCCAAGGATGGGACATCCACAACTTCACTGGGCAACTGCTCCAGTGCCTCACCACCCTCACAGTAAAGAATTTAATCCTAATATCGAATATAAACCTATTCTCTTTCAGTTTGAAACCTTTCCCCCTTGTCCTGCCACTACAGTTCCTGACAAAGAGTCCACCTCTGGCTTCCACGCAGGCCCCCTTCCAAAACTGGAAGGCTGTTATGAGGTCTTCATGCAACCTTCTCTTCTCCAGGCTGAGCAGCCCCAAGTTTCTTAGCCTGTCTTCATAGGAGAGCTGCTCCAGTCCCCTTATCAACTCTGTGGCCACTCTCTGGACTGTTCCAACAGTTCCATGTCCTTCTTATGTTGAGGGCACCAGAATTGTACACAATATTTCAGGTTGGGTCTCACTAGAGTGGAATAAAGAGGCAGAATCATCTCCCTCAACCTTCTGGCCACTCTTCTTTTAATGCAGACCAGGGTACAGATAGGACTGTGAGTGCACACTGCTGGCTCACATAGAGCTTTTTGTCAACCCCCAAATTCTTGGGTTGGACAAGATGATCTCCAAAGGTCTCTCTCTCAACCTAAACCATACTGTTACTCTGTGATTCTCTGTGGGTGAGGTATAACTAGAAGTCAGATCTCCCTTTCTCAAGACAAATGCCCAAACAACCATGCTGCTGTGAAAAAAAGCGTGCAGTAGCATTACCCCATCACCATTTCTGGAGCAAAGAGAGATCCCAGTATTTATTCCCAGACAGGTTTTCAAGCACTTAGTCTCTAAGATATCTACCTCTATCTATTTTCACATCCAGGTATTTTTTGAGCATGATGTAGTTTGCATTACCAGTAATCCTCAAGGAATCTCACTGTTGAGTTTCTCCTTGAACCTTTGTACACCCTTCCACATTGAGAAGGACCTTTGCAAACAATCTTAAGTAAGTAGTTCTGTGTGATGTAAAAGAAAATGAAAATGAAAAACAAATACTGTTCAAGAGTTAAGTACCATTCAGGATAAAGTTTAAAAGAAAGTACTTCAGAGAAAAAAATAAATACTGGACAATTCTAGACTTTTATGTGCTGGAAACTCCAAAAACTTCAATACCAGGGTTTTCAGAATAACTTATATACAGAATAATTTTTTTCTCAGGAGTAGATTTGTTTTCTCACTTTTACACCTTGATGCCACAGCGTATGAAGTGATATATTCTGAATGCTACAAAAAAAAAATGTATGTAGGGTATTTTTTCAAGGTGCAGGCAAGTGTTATGAACTCTCAACAACATAAAATAAATTTTATTATGTCATCTGTGATGATAAAAATAAATTTGTATAATAAAATAGGTATCTTATAAACACAATTTTTTTTCAATTTACAGAGAAAAGTAGTCACCATTACTAGTTAAAAATGCATAAATTACTAAATATATTCAATCTTGAAAAAAAAAATCACAGTACAGACTATTATTACAAGTTATCTAAAATGTAAAAATTTGGTAGTATACTTTTCTACTGATACCAAACCCCCTGTAACAGTAACTCCAATAATTCTGTATTACTTTAGAATCTTTATATTTACCCACGCACTGGAATATTCATATTCCTTGCAGATTTAGCAACTTCTTCAAACTTTTCTATGCTTTCTTCAATTGAACAATTAATATTCATTTTGCTAAAAGATTCAGATGCTGCGCCAAATACTGAGACTTCTGTAGCTCCTGCTGCAATCTAAAAAATACATTTCAATAAAACAGCATCATAACACTATATTAAAATATTAGATCAAGCACTTAATTCTGTACAACACTCCAGAATTTTAAAGTACATTAAGTATATTATCCATATCTAAAATATAAGTTTAATTCAAATTTTTTTAAGCTATCACATACAGACAGATTGAATCAAATTTTGAGTTCATTCGCTATGGCTATTTCCTTCCTCTTCTAACCAATTAGGTAAACATGTTTTTAAACTGATAAATGATAAAGGTAACAAGATGCAGGAAATCACATGAACCAACTATAAAAATAACAATTATTGATACTTATATTTATTTTTCAGAAAAGGGAAAGATCATATATCAACTTCGAAATATCCATCCCCTGCACAGTCTGTTCCTTCCAAATGCCAGGAAGTCATTCCCATGCTTGGGAAAGCTCTCTGTGGGCATGTGTCTAGAAGCAACAACAATAACTAATAGCGATTTCTTTGTTAGAGCAGCTCTAGGATCAAGGGCTCCACTGGTCTTCGTGTCATAGTTGTTATGGATAATGTGGAAAATGTGTATGTGAGAGCCTGCTGAGAAAGTCTCAGAGCAAACACCAGCCTAGAAAATGTGTAAATGTGGTGACAACTCAAGGGGCAATAAGCCTGAGCTTGTACTGAGTAAATCAACTAACATGAGGCAAACTAGAAGGCTGAAAGACAAATGATAGGAGAAGAAAATATTTAAGCTTAGGAGAAGAGTTAATTAATTAATTCTCATTCTCCAGTGAGAATAATACTCTTGTTTTATGAAAAGGGATGAAGATTTTCCCTTTAGTCTTTGCTTCTGCAGGATAAGGTCTAAGCTTCAGTAACTCTTACAGGGACAAATATTCTTTCAAACAGAGGGGGAAAAAATATCATCAAGAAAGAATGCAGGAATCACCTACAACTATTTCTTAATTGTTTTCCTTTCATTATATCACCAAATACAGTATCGAGATATACTGTATACATATATAGCACAATTAATTCTACTCATACAAGCTACCATTGAGACAAAGTCATGGCACTATAAGTTGACTATTGATAGCTAAGTTGACTATGCACAGGATTCTGTTTCATTCACATGCAGTATAGGAACTGAATGATAGACTACACCACAAATATCCACCAAGAAGTACACTTTCCAAATACAGTTTGTCCTATATCAGGACAGAAGCACAGAAGTATTAAGAATTTTCAGAAAACAAAAAATTGCAAAGATTTGACTATCAATGTATATGTTTTAAGACTGAACTGCTCTATTTTCACACTTCCAAACACTTCGAGTCTATAATTTTGAGTACTTATTTTGTATGAACTGAAATAATTTAAACTTTCAAACCCTACCAAAATGAAACGCTGAATTGCTATAAAGCATTTTCACATCCTCATTCTTCTTCAGTACTTTCTAATAAGCAGACACTCTTCAGAAACTTTTCTAGGGCAAACTTTTCATATACAAGCCCTTTTTATATACAAGCATAATTTAAAGGAACTTAAAAAGACTGATCATTACTTCCATCAAAATATACATACACAGAGTGTAATATCACTCTGTAAATTTGCTCATTTTTCATAATGAAAACTGAGACTTTTCAATTAACTTATTTCTAAGATTAAATAGCTAGTTTATGGTACTGAACTGAATATCTATGAAGGCACTTACAGCAGTGTGAAAACCTTGAAGATTAGGCGTGAGAACCGGATACTGGACTCCAGGATGCCGCTCAATGCCCCTCATTACTTCTTTGTGATCTGCCATCTAAAATACATAAATAATTTGTATTGATCAGCAGTCATTTTCTGATTTTATACAGCTAAACAGAAAGTGGCCTAGACTGTGGGTTTGCCTTCATTACTTTTACAGTGCATACAAAAAATCTAACAACAAAGGGGTTAAATTGATATTGCACAAGTACTCCTTTTTTAATATCTTAACTTTTAAGCATTTGAGTTGCAATCTTTTCAGATCTCTATGATTATAGAATTGGAGCTACGATTTCTTTTTGTGTGTATCTGTAAAAATATAATTTGCATCATAAATTGACAGGCTTGTGATCATGCTGTTCATCAACTGTTATAGCAACTTTAATCTTACCTCACTGGACTCAACAGATGGAATTAACAGAATAACTGACATTTAAACAACATCCAGATCTTGAAAACTTCAGCACTCTGATAAATGCAACTTCACAATGTTAAGCATAACTGAACTTCAAATACTCAAATTGTAATCAGCATATTTGAAAAGACTAAACACAAGTCTATCCCTAAAAAAATCTAGCAAAATCCAGCTGTCTGCATAGTGTAGCATTTTAATGTATTTAGAAGTTTCTTTCTAAAGAAGAAAATACTTCTTTACTATAGCAAAGATCAGAGCATTACTTTATTCAAGGATTTGTTTTCCTTAGTCTCCCCTCACAAAAGAAACTCTGCCTTTTTAAGACACTTTTACGTTTTTCTCATTCACACTCAAGATTGAACATACTACATGTACTAATCAAGATGAATGAAAGACTTATTGATGTAATACAAAACAGGTTATTTAGGTAAGCACATTTTCCTGAAAGAAGTGGATGGAAAATGAAGATTTTTCAATGGTGTGCATTCCTGAAAACAACACAGTTAATAAAACATATCCCTCTTATTTCGTGCCTTAAAGATTTTGAGTTTTAAAAAATGAATAGTGTTTAGTTTTTAAATTAGCTCTCATAAAAGCAAATCTCTCGAGAAAACAATATTAAAATGGATTTCTGATTCTTTCCGCACTGGTGAAAAGTCATTTGAGAAGTACCATATGAAAAGATATATGAACTACAAAGCTTTCATTACATCTTACTTTCAGCAGATACCTTATTGATAGCTACGCAGTACCACAATTCTAAATACATGATATTAAATTACACCACATTATTAACTGAGAATACTACTGGCAACCTGGAATCTTCCTGTCACTGGCTTCCTACTCTGAAAATTAATGGATTAAAAATATCAGAAAAATTCACATATGCCTCCTCAAATGTAAGCCCAACGTATCTATAAGGAAGTGGATAGGAAAAGTGTCTAATAGCCAGACAACTAATTTCTCATCAGGAAACAAGTGATAGCACAAGGCAACTTTTTCTATCTGCTTCTACTTAAACTAAATCAGTCTGATAACCTCACAAAGAAACCTTTGTTAACACATTAATTTTTTAAGAACAATTTTTCCTTAATTTAATATAAATAGTATCTACATTTCTCAGGACAAGGAAGAATGTTTGAAACCAAATGATTCATTAAATGGCAAACACTGGAACTAAATCCACACTTCACAATTACAGCCTGACTTAAAATACACTAGAAAACCAAAATGACACTTTTTCAACCAGTATAAACCTGCCAGATCCAAAAAAATATTATATGTATTAAATCTGTCCCATTACTATTTTTCCTGTAAGTAAAATCCCATCTTTACACATATTTCACGTTACAAGATTTTACATTGTAATAAAATATTTCTTTTCCAAATTTCTTTTAAAATAAGCTTCCTAAAGGTAGGTATTTATAATTTTTGGCCGTTTAAGTTATAGGTGTGGGATCCTGTTTTACATGGCACCTTGCTACTGTGGAACTTTTTCTTGTAGCTTTTTTCAGTAAAAAAATCTCTGCCAAGAACAACAGCGGATTGGAAACCATAAAAAAACTTTAAAATACTAAAAAAAGAAGTGAATGAGTGATCTAAACATAACCGTGAATTCTATTCCCATGACCCATGAAAAAAAAAAAGGAGCAAAGAAAAGACAAAGTCAAGACTGCACTCTCTATCAATGCAATATAATCTTATTTTTTAAATAAAAAAACATTTTAAGCACAAATTAAGCCATTAAAACAAAGTGTTTAGACATGAAAAACTCATGTTAAATTTGGTACTTCTAATGGTTCACAGGAAAAGGAAATAATTAAACAAGAAAGGAAGAAATACACCTTTGCTTTAGACTTTCTCTTCTAATGTTTAAAAACCTACATAAGTCTTTGTTGCAGTTACTGCCAAATTTTGATGACATTTGGAAAATCTTAACTTGGTCACTTTTAACAGATACAATATCATTGTCCCTGCATTGATGCCAAAGAAATGCTGCACTGTCACTCTTCCCCTTTCCTATTATCCTTCCTCTAGACTGTTCCCTCGTGATCCCAAGAACACTGAAATAAATCAAAGGTGTCTCTCAGAGTGCTGTACAGTTTGCTTTGCTAACTCATGAATAAGTACGACCATACTATGTTTTTCTCAGATAAAAGCTGTAAAATACAGCCCTGGATGTACTCTCAGTTTAAAATATAAAACTTTATATATATTTTGACAGATGTGCAACAAACATTGTTAAAAACTGATGTATTTTCTCAAATTAATTAGTTTCATGTTTTAATTTGTAAATAACTTGGGATCCTCACTAAATATAAAGCATTCAAATGCTCCTGTGCAAACAAGTGTGTAATTTCATGAAAAATAGTTTAAATTATATAGACAAGTATTTCCTTACTTATATAGACTTACTTCCTTCCTTGCAGGGAATAATTAATTTGCACAAACAGGACCTATACAGTATACTTTAGGACTAAGCCCAAATTTGCAATGTTAAATCTTACATGAAAAACTGGCACTTCTAATGCCAGTTCAGTTTTGCTGCTGATTTCAGAAAGGCTAGTGTTTCTGCTAAGTTGTACCAAACATAACAATTTTGGACAAATAATGAGCAAATTATTATGATTCATCAAAACTCAGTGTGGCTGCTGATAGAGTGCTAGAACTGCAAAATAAGTAGCATGCCTAACTACTACTCCATATAAAAAGTCCCAAATTTAGATCATCCAAACACATTTCCAAATGTGGAAAATTACATTTCATTTAGGGAAAAAGAAAATAAGGTATGCTACTTTCCTTTTTTACATCAGTGATTATTAGTTTTAGAAGAGTAGAAAAGAAGTAGTAACATTAAATTATATTAATGATTTGTCATTTATATCCTAAATATCTAGTTACAACTGAATGTCACATAAATGGAATGGCATTTAAATTGAAATAGTTCTGAATGGAGATGATTTTACGTACCTGAGGCACCCATTTGGATGAAACAAAACTGGTCACTTCTACTACAGGCAGGCCTGTTTTGGAAAGCCGGTTGATTAACTCAATTTTTATATCAGTTGGGACTATCACCTACACACATGGAGAAATACTTTAGTAAAATATTTCATATGATAAGAAACTTTTGTAAGTGAAATGTTCTCAGTACATAATCAATACTTTTTTTTTTAAACGAACTCCACTGACACATTTTATCATAACTCTACTGTTTCCTCACAGTAGGAAACTTCTGCATAAGGAAGGCACTAGGCAGTATACACAATCCTACTCCATTTTCTGTCCATCACAAAAAAGACACTCCTGTGTCACTGGTTATAGATCTGGCCTTTAAAAAAGCTATTTGTTACTAACCAAATACTAATCTAGCAAAGAAGTAGCAAAGGAAATAGTAACAATTCAACCAGAGAAAAATGTGGGGAAAAAGCTCCACAGCTGAGGCAGAGTAATTCTATTCTGTTAATACTATTAAATGTTTATATTAATAATATTATGAATAAATAATATTTATATTTAATATTACTAATGTAATACTACTAACGTGTTTGATATCAGTAACAATTATATATGTGAGCTTATCCTCCTGTTTGTGGAAACAGATGACTGTTTTGATACATGTACCCTACAGTCTCTTTCAATCTTCTTCCTTGCTTCCCCCTACCACCCTTCAGGCAAATAATATTATCAGAAGAGTAATACTTTTCCCCCATGTCTGTTTAGCAGGAAGCATGATTAAACCCATTTTAGTCTTCTATATTAGCACTTGGAGCACAAACACATGTTACAAAGACAGTCAGTGTTTCATGGTATTTACCAAGTACATCATGACAGAATGCTATTCACTGACAAGACAAATTCCAGAAAAAGAAATGGCAGTTAAGTAACAGAAAGGCTAGTTAGCCAAGTATAGAAAGAAACTGTATGATTTAAAAGCTGGGTAAATAGGAATACACTTTTATTCTAATACAGAAAACAGTTATCAATATGTAAAGAAATAGATATATTTAATAGTGCAAAAGGAAAGGAACTTAATTAGCAGGACGTACATGGTCTACACAATGAAAATAACACTAATGTCTATGTCAAAGTACTCAAAAAAAAAAAAAAGGAGAAAAGTTACCTTTTCATTTTGTAATCCATCCCTTGGTCCAACTTCTACAATCTTTATGTACTCAGGCAGTCCAGATGCTTGAGGTTCCTGAAATAAAAATCAATATTGAAACACAAAACAATGGAGGTCACCAAGATCAAACGTACAGCTTGTACTTGTCCTCTCATATGATTCTGGGTATAACATCGTATTGTCAACAGAAGTTAGCTCAGGGCATTTAAAAATCTGTGAGAACATCTTCCACACCTTGATTTAGGGAATAAAAGTCAAAAGTAGAAGTTAGCTGCGTGAATGCTCCCCTGCTCCTTTCAGGCCACAAATGTTTACTATAAAAATGTATATAGAACCATAAATGAACATTATGTTTTACAGTGAAAAATATTCCCATTTCAAAAATCTTCACAGTGAATAATCCAGTCCTCTAAACTTCTAACTGAATGTTCTCAGTTTAACTGAATAGCTCTGTAAATATTTGCAAGACTAGGCTATAAATCTGAAAAGAACATAGCAGTCAAGAAATGTTGAAGAGATTATTAATGGAAGATGAAAGTTACTCCTCTGAGGATGAAGTTTTTAAAAAAGGATTTAAAGGAGAGCAAGGAAGGCCTCCGGTAGATAAGAAGAATCTTCCAGGTGTAAGGGCAGCTCTGGAAAGGCAGGAAGCTGATGGGGACAGGAGGGAAGGAAGGCAGCAGTAAGGTCAAAGGGCTAAGGAGAGCATGGGGAACTGGAGGGGGAGGAAGAAGAAATGAGAGTAGAAAAGCAGATGAAGGGAAATGAAACTTCTTTTTTTAATATTTAGCTGCTCTGTTATTGAATCAAGTTGACAGGTGTGGCAGTTAATGTAAACTGGGTCTTTAAATCCTGAAACAGTTCAGAACAGTTGATTGGATTGACCCCCAAAAGCTGTGTGTCTTTAAAAATACATCCCATGGTCAACTTGTGGCACTCTTCCTGTGCTCACAGGAGTGGACAGGAGGGACACAGGCAGCCTTGCCTGGAGCTCTGGAGATGCCCTGTTTTCTATATTGTACTGAATACAGAAGCCAGACCAGTTCTCCATTCCAGTGTTTCTGAAAGCATGAGTTGGGATTAACATGAGCTACCTGTGGGTAGCTGTTCCACTGCACCCACCACCTCTCCCAGGAGTTTAACACCACTGGAAGGATGACACTGTCAGCACACAGGGACAGCTCATACCCGTGGGAGTCGCGGCTCCCCCAAACCAAAGTCACTCCATAAATACAGCCACTAATCTCACACCATCCACAAACAACAGAAAAAGCCATATTTCATCCCTCCCTGGCTAGCGTTATCAGGGTTGTTTCAACAAAACAGCTGCTAATTTCTCCTCACAGTAATGAAAAATGAGCATTCCTATGAGCACCTTTGGTTTCTCCCCACGTTCTTGGTGCCTGTGGGTAGTTTTCTGCAGGACTCGCCAAAATACTATAAACATATTTCAGAGCATTTACTGTGTATTTATCTGAGCCCAGTAAAAGAATGGGAAACAGCTGTATAGTATCTATTTGATCACATGGAACATCTGGTAAGTTGAAACTCTGTCAGGCCGTGCTAAGCCCACACCCGCTGACAGTATAAACCTACTTAAATGTGAAGGTAAAACCTTCACATCTGCTGCATATTGTTTCTCTTAAGTTATTTTCACAAATATGGCACTGCCTCAGCACTGTGGGCATAAATCTGGGATATGTCATGATTATCAGATCCTTCTTGTTGCAAGACAAATGCCACAAGTGTGCTATGAGTAAACCTGTGACTGGAAAATGAAGAAGAAGCTAAAGCAGATTATGCGAACCAAAGCTTAATTTAGAGCATGAAAAATGTCCATAAAACTTCGATGGCAAAAATGTTCAATTTCTAGGCCAAATCTTGTAAATCTGACTCAGTTCCTACTGTGGCAACACTTTTGTTGAAATCAAAGAGCTGTACCTGCCTTTACAGAACAGTTCACACAGCTACAGCACGTGCAGTAGCCATTCACACAGACGTTCAAGTGATACCTGCAGCCTGTGGATTTTGAATGGGACAGAAGTTTGGAAGGGACATTGCAGAAAGATATTCAAGTATTGGGTTTTATTTTCCATCTGTGATATTACAGACATACAATTTCTTTGAGCCATAGTCCAGGCCTCTCAGCCCCCGATTTTCTCCAGAGCCATCCTGTCCACTAGTCAGTCCCAACTTGAATTCACTGTTCTTGAACACAACACTGAGAACCACATATGGGATGACTCCCACAGGTGCCACATAATGGAAACTCAAGGCAATACTATAGACAAATCCATACATTCTTCAAACTAATGAACTGACAGCTTAGAGTAAAACTCAGAAACAAACTGGAGACTATAAGAGTACGTGTACCATCTTCTGCTAAAATTACTCTAACATTTTTCTATTCTCTGTCACAGAGTTGAATCAGAGGAGTAAAGGAGTACCTCTTCACCTGAATCTCACCTGTCCTATGAATGAGTACTTGGTAACTAGCTGTTGGGACATTCTTCCAAAACAGAAGTATGTACTTGGTAATGCTGTTGGCAAGAGAAAGGAAGGTACTTTCTGGGAACTATTCTGATCACAACGTCACACTTGCAGAATATTTGCACATCACTTAAATCCCATCTGAAGAAATCACCTGAGCCACAAGGCACTTGCTGTGCCAGGCTCAATGCCATCTGCATTCGCTAACCAAACTTCAAATGCACAGAACACACTGAAGGCTTTAAGAACTTGGGCAGAGTTTACACCCTTCTCTCTTTACTATCCAGATGGTATTAGACCTTAACCAGCACTTGGGTTTCGTGAATTGAAGAACTGAGTTCCCCAAACTCTAACTGGGGCATTTCAAATGTGCACCATGCCCTCGGGTAAGAGGACGGATTTTCAGAAACAACAATAAGACAAATTTAGAGAATTTCAATACCTTCAAGTGTGGCATTAAATGGCCTACAGCTAATAAACAGAAAATATAAACAGAAATAAACAGAAAAATGAAAAACAGTTTTTATATTTTAAGAGAATCAAAAAAAGGTGAACTTTGCAGAAATACACATGTACTTATATTAAACACTAACCATGTCAGGTATATAATTTTGTTTCAGGAAAAATACTTACTAAATTGAACTATATGAAGTATTTTTATGTAATAAAATATAAAAAGTAGTTATAGCAAATACTTAGGAGTTACTGCTTATTGAATAATACAGTATCTCTGTTAAAAAGTAATGACTACGAAAGTATCATGTTTTAAGTATCAAAAAGGAAATAGTGGACATAAAAGACTAAGAGCCTGGAAAATTTGTTTTTCCATGTATCAAGCCTTGCCAAGGGAGAACAAAAAGCATATAAAACCACAAAAAAATTCCCTCCCTCAAAACAGAATGCAGCCAAAGAGTATTTTTTTAAAAATAGGAAAAGCAAAACCAAACCCTTCAGCTTGAGACATCGAATGCCAAATTTCTGTATGGAAACATTCTCCTTCAACTATAAATAGCTGAAAATTCAAGTTTATTATAGAAAATCCTAGTAACTCTTAATTAGAACAGTATAATCTAGTTAAAATAACCATAAATGTAATTAAATTAAATAAACACACTTTTTTAAGCTCTGCCACTGCTTCACTACTTCTAGTAAAGGTGCTGAGGTTCCTTCAGCCTTCTGATTTTTATTCCATGAAGCTCATTCACATGGACAAAAATAGCACTGGTAAATATTACCCAGAGCTACTCAAAAGTAACTGCAAGGACCCAAAAGTAAGGGAGAAGAATCTGGAGATTCAGGCATTTTCAGTCTTTCTAACCAAAGATGAAGCTCTGCTTCCTTTTTCCACAAGGTGGTGGTCTGGCACAGAGGACAATTGAACAAAGGTAGGTCCATCTTGCACAAGGAAGAATTATTTAGGACAGCAGTTTTAAACAAGGATCAGCAGGGAGGTGGCATCATAACTCCATATGTATATCTGCAATGACATGGACAAATGCCCAAAAACCAGGAGAAGGTTATGAGATAAATAATATGACTGCTGGAAGAAGAACAAAGAAAAGAGTGGTCAATCTTCTGAACACACAGATACAATACATAGAGGAAATAAAGAGGAAGAAATTAAAATCTTAGTACATAACCAAATAATGATTGAAGTGGTACTACAGAGACTTGTTTATATAGTTCACACTATTGGAAGGCAGAAATAAAATCTATTAATTCCTAAGTTAAGTAGGGAGAAAATGGAGAAGATTTACCTGTGAGATATAAATGCTATATACAGATATTCAGAAAACAGTGGGCACACCTGGTGAATATTCCTCAGTAAAGATAAGCTGAGTATTCATCCTGGAACTTCTGTTGCATGCTGCTAACATGACTGGGAGAATAGTAGCCAGGAAGGGACAATGACTAAAAAAATCCCTCATCAACACTTGAGAATCTTTCATCAAGTAAATTTTTCTTATGATATCACTGTATATGCATGACCTGAATGGCAACACAGACATACCACAAACAAAGCAGTTGAGAGTGCTTTAGACAACAGGACCAAATTTCAAATTCCAAAATACAAAATCCCATTGACATACTAGATGCATTTCAATAAAAACAATATATTAGAAACACTTATGACTATCCATATCTGATGCTGACTGACTAATCAAAAGAATTTTTGCATGTTGTGCTTTACAAGTCCTATCATATTTCTCCACTGTAATAATTTTGATCCCCCCAAAAAAAGATTCTTGTAAAACTGAGGATAGAATGTACCTGGCTAAACAGCTCTATAAAAAAGGACTGGGAAATTAGCAAACTGAAAATAAGTAAATAACACCATGCTCTCAAGAAAAAAAAAATGAAATGGCAAATCTGATCCTAACCTATAAACTGAGATCTCATAGATAAAATAGTAGCCTGGCACTTAATGAGTATAAATGCTGTGTCTAATTTTGGACTTCCTACTTCAAAAAATAATTCAATCAAACGGAGATTGTCCATGGAAGGGCAAAATATTAAATGCAATTAATCCTTAATGCAATAAATCATTACAGAATAAAATTAGTTAAATGCAGAGTTAACTTATC